AATCTTCATATATTCCTTATGATTTTTACTATGTACCAAAATATCATCTATATATACACAAATAAATGGGAAAAAATTAAAAATACTATCCATTTTCTTTGAAAAGTAGAGGATGCATTTTTTGATCTAAAAAGCATAACTAGCCATTCAAGATGTCATAGTGGTATAGTAAAAGATTTCCAAATAATAGAATCTTTTGCCATTTTTATTTGTCAAAATCCATATTTACAGTCAAATTTTGAAAATATTTTAACTATTTTGTATTTTATTTATTAATATGTTCTTATCTGGTAACTTATATCCATCTTCTATAGTATTATCATTTAATCTTTTATTATTTATAATTATTCTTTTTTCCCTTTTTAATTTCATTATGATTTTTAATCATAAAAATCGCCGATCTGTGTTGGCTATTGGATGGTCCTATCACTTTTAAATCTAACAATTTTTTAATCTGTGTATTAAAGTCTTCTATATCTTGATTTTATATTTAATTTCTGTTGTTCTAGTTTTATATTTTCGTTTATGGTGTTTAATTTAGCTTTTATTTTATTTTTATCCCAAGGTTTTATAGGGTGTTCTTCAATTATCTGTAATTCTAAAATTTTATCTATACTATCTACGTTAGATGATGATTAGATGATGTTTTATTAAATATTATCAATTCTTTAGTTCTTGGTATGATACCAGTCTTTAAGGTTTCTAGAGACAAATGATTTAAATGTTCAAACCTTCTAAATTATCTAGCTAGCTAAAAAGTTTTCATCACGTTATTTTAGTCTTACTAGCAGTAAGCACATGCATTGTACATTTTATGTACGGAATAAATGATATGCATAATATTTTTTAAAGTAAGATAATTGATAATGTTAAACAAAAAATTAAAATTGTTAAAAGTTCAGAAATGATTTTCAAAATAAAAAATTACTTATTTTGTCTGTAACATAAACTTTTTTACCTTAAAAGTAAAAATGAAAAAGTATCATATTTAAACACTTTTAGAAACAAAAAAATTACGTATTAATCGTGCTCCTCATATTAATCAATAGCATATTTATTTTGAATTAAAAACTAAAGTTACATTCAAAATAGATATAGAGGTGAAAAATCTTAGACAAAATGTAATTAATACAAATGGAGGAATAAAACTTCTTCCTTTAAATATATCAAGATTAAACAAAAATAATTCTTTTCTTTATATATTTATATCTAATAAGTAACTGAATTATCATCAATTTTCATATTTATACAAAAATGAACATGCAACAATAATAATATATCCAATACTATATTAATATTTTTTAGAACACATAATATTAATTTTTATTAATACTCAAAATTTTGGTTTTAGTGAAAAATGTGTAACTGAGATGCGAAATTTGTATTTAGTGGGTTGGATATAAATATGGAAGGGGTAAGTAACTCCTAATTATTATGAGTAATTAGTAAGGTTTTTAGGATTAATCGATAATTCCTTCCATCTTCGTTTCTTTTCCTCCTAACCATTGATCACATTTACGCAAAAAAATAAAAAATTAAAAAAAATCAGTATATATATTGTAATTATAACATAATTATATAAGTTGATTTTAGATGAAGCTCACTTATATAAATAATATATAATATAATATAATATACATAAATGTACATATGAGATAATTTAATCCTACATATATAAAAGAGTAAAACTTTGCTGGACATGTGTCACAATTTCATATCGTCTTCCTTTCTCTCTCTCTCTCTCTCTCTTTCTTTTTTTTTCATTTCATCCCACGCTATCGGCCATACCTCTTTCCTTCTCCATTTTCCCACGTTATCACCATACCTCTTTACTTCTCCTCCATTTCTCCAATACAATCACCCATTTCACACAAGAATACATGATTTCTATACGGAGCTACCTGATTCATCTCTCTCATTCTCTACCCTAATTGTAAACTTTCTCTAACATTCATCAAAATTTTAGCCGCCTCATTTGCCTACTTCAAGGTAACGATTTTATGAAATGGGTGTAATCTTGAACTCATACAACCCATTCCTCTCTTTAATTCTTAAGTCTGGTCATTTCTATTTTCTAAGTTTATCCGTATCATTTAGTTGCTCATTTGTCTTTAATGGTGATTTTCTTAAGTTTTCATTTGTTTCAACCCGTGACCAAACTACTTCACAATTATTCAACTCAAGACGAGCAACTGAATCTCTCTAATTTGTATGAAAGTATGTTTTTTCGATTTTTTTCTTTTGAATTAATCTTCATTTTTGTTAAGTTTCATTTGATTATTGTTTATACGAGCATGGTATTAATTTTGTTCGAACATAACTTCCAGATGATGGTGAATCAACTGATGGGAATAGTGACGGAGTAATTAGTAGGATACTAGGTCTGTGCTCTTCTCCCACTTCATTTTAAAATCTATTTTTTTGTATATTTCATTTTTCATTTGTGTTAACATTGTTTTAGGCAAAAAAAAAAAAAAAAAAAAAAAAACAAAAACAACAAAAAGAAAAAAAAAAAAAAAAAAAAAGTCAAATACTAGAGAAGTTGGTGGAGAAACCAGAGAAGTTGGTGTAGAAACCATTAGTGTACTTCTAGAGAACAAGAGGTAATTTAGAAAGTCTCTAAGAAATCTTCATATCAGGTTGCATGCATGCACAAGTAGTCAGGACTGAAAAAATGTTTAGAAAAATAGCCAGTTACCTCAGCCTCCTCCTCTGATTCTTCATAGGCCTCATCCTCCCCTCCCTGCTCATGCCCTTCATCTTCTTCCTCATAATCCTGATCTGCTTCCACATTCCTTCTACGTGATGGAGAACCTTCATCTTCTTCCCCTTCAGTTTCATACTCAGATTCCTCCTTCTCACTTTCAGAAAAGTCCATTGACCGCCGAGATGGCAATGCTGATTTGCGAGTTTTAGCCAGAAAATGTTTACTATTTTGACGATTACCATATTAAATCTGGATGTTTAAGCTTATCTAGAATTTTGACGATTAATAGAAGGAACATGGTTTATATGATCTAATGAAATGCAATTTGAAGAATCATTTCTAGTTTTGAACTCAATTTCACAGACGACCAGGTCCGTGCGTGCGCGGAGCAAAATTATAGTTGTGGAATTTGTCAAAACATTTGAAGAATCTTTTCCTATTTTGAACTCAATTTCATGAATAATTGTCCTCTCTTGAAGCATTTAATTATGTCAACTATCAATGAGAAAGACAAGAAAATTCACCTTTCAAAACATTTTTTTAAACATAGAAAAAAATAAATAAATAAATTGTGGCTAAAGCAGCTCCGAGTCGCACAGAGCTGCTGCACGAAGTAGCAGCCCCGTGTGACATGAGTTGCCAAGCTCCGTGTGAAGGGACTCCCCTAACTTTAAAAATTTTTTTTATTTATTTTTATTTTTTAGTAGTGGACCTTATTATTATAAATTTTTTTTTTTACTATTATAATGAGTAAGCTAAAAACTGAAAAATATAGGTTACGGGCATCAAGTTTGATGCCCTAACCTATAGTCTCATTTTCTTCTTTTTCTTTTTTTTTTTTTTTTTTTTTTTTTTTTTAAAAAAAAATTACTAAATGAAACTTAGTTATGAATTTGGGTTATTTCCATGATATGAATTAAGAACTATACCAAGGGTAGTTTGACAAAGCTTGAGATAAGACTTTAGCAAATTTTGATAAAAGTTGATAAAATATGTGGTTGAAAATTTGATAAAAAATGTTAGTCCCATGAATAGTATGATAAAATTAATTTTTGACTTTGATTCAACTTTTGAAGATATCTCAAACAAGAGCAAATATAACATTTTATGATAAAGATTGTTTGAAAACAAATGCAATCGCTTATAAAGAAATTAAGTAGATTTCCCTCTTGGGTCTTTAATAAGTCTCTAATAGAATTTTGAATCTATTGTTATCACAATAACAAGTAATATTACAACATAACACAATATCAAGTACATATACTTGGAATCGAATCAAAGCTCATGAGATATATCCTTTTTCATTATGATTGTCTTGTCTTATCTAGGACCGATCCAGATGACCATGCACAAAAGCATGAATGTTATGCCCATGTTTGATAGTGATTAAAATCTAGATTTTAGTCTAGTCAAAATCAATAATTAATATTAGCCACATATTTCATGAAATCCGCAATATTTTAACTACTATTTCATCATCTTTTATCACAATTTATTGAAAATTTGATTTTAATTCTCACCAAACAAGAATCATATTTTGTTTTGATAGTTGGTTGAAGATTATGCCTTGTTTGAACCCTATTCTTTTGATAAAAATGAATTTTTGAATAATGTACTGATGGAAAATGTGCAACTAAAAAATGAGAAAAAAATTTGGATTTACACGTAATATTATTTTATTAAAAAAAATATATGGTTAAAATGATGTCAAAACACTACTTAAGAATGAAATTTTTTCGAATAATGAAAATCAAATAGGGGCTATATTGGCTCAAACATGTTTTTGGCTCCATTGGGTGCTATTTTATTTATGTCAAGCCCTAAGGAAAATAAAATATTATATCCTTAATCACACACCAAAATTCTTGTGTGTAGCTAGTCAAACTCGACTCCAAATTAAACGTGTCAAATACGACTCTGAATTGAGTATCGGAATCAAACTAGATGACTTTTATATCAATTTGGGACTAAAATTGGACGTGTTTATTCACTTAGAAAATATAATATTAAAGTGCTTGAATAAATTATTCATTTTATACAAATATTAAATTTCAAATTTCTAAAAATGTGCACTTATTAAATTTGTGATGAAATTATAAGAAAACATACGAAGATTTGCATGGAAGAAATAAAGCATGAGAAAAGGAAATGAAGCTCACATTAATATGTTTGAATAACTTTTTAAGTACAAATCAAGCATCTGTTGGATAGTAGTTTAATGCCATGAAAAAGATCACTAGGTATCGAATGGTTATTGAAAGATGGGAATGCTTCTTAATTAATTAGTATTTACTCATGGGATTCCACCACCAGCTCCTGCACCAAATCCACTACCGGATCCTCCACCCAATTCGCCTCCACCACCGCCTCCGCCACCAAAACCTCCTCCTCCTCCTTGGGCACCATTTCCAAACCCACCACCAAATCCTCCTCCAGAACCAGAACCACCCCCTGTTCCTCCCCCTCCACCTCCTCCTCCACCTCCTCCAAACCCTCCACCTCCTCCATGAGAACCACTTCCCATCCCACCACCAAATCCTGCTCCATAACCAGAACCAGAACCACTACCACCTATTCCTCCACCACCACCACCACCTCCACCTCCACCAAACCCTCCACCTTCTCCTTGAGCACCACCTCCAATCCCACCACCCATTCCTCCTCCAGAACCAAAACCACCTTTCGTTCCTCCACCTCCACCAAAGCCTCCACCACCACCTCCACCAAGCCCTCCTAGATCCCAGTGACCAAGGGATAAATTTTTATCTCCATCTAAAGAACCCTCTGAGCCAACAAGCTTTCTTGCAGTGGTGGTGCAAATAAGAACACTAAGGAGAACCAAGAGAACAAATTTGGAAGGCATCTCAATTTGTAAGTAAAAGACAGGTATTCAATCTTGATTGATAACAACTTAGAACACATGAAAGTGTTATATAATGCTAGAATATCAATTATTTGCAATAAAGTTTAATGCTTGAATTAATGTGCATTAATGAAAGTCTCATAACTTGACGGTTATTGTATTAGTAACTAGAAATTTAGATTTTTGTGTTTAGTTATTAATCGGTGCATTAGTAAATTAATTTCTGAATTAATGGATGTTTTAATTTCTTTTCCTTTTATCATGTTTCATTTTTCTTAAATTACCTAACATTTATTTTTTCAGTTTCATTTCGAGTTCATCATAATCTCTCTCCCCCCTCCCCGAGGAGAGAGAGAGAGAGAGAGAGAGATGAGGCAAGTGTTATTTAGCAATTTAAAGTAATCCCGAGTCAAGTATCAATAAGATTTAAAGGTATAAGCAAGAAATGAAATTTTATTTTATGGCCAAGTGAGCAGTTCAGCAGAAAAGCTTTTGCTTATTTTTGCACTTGCAATAGAGTTTGGCGTAAATTCTCTCTGAATTTCGAATAAGAACTAACGTGCCCTATCATGGAAAATTATACTTTCGTGTATGGATTGACAAATAACTATATATGTATTGTTGAGTTTATAACTTAAAAATTGAATTTTATTTATGAAATGGAATTTTGAATACACAGTCACCAAAGCCACAATCTATTATATCCACTCAAATGAGATTTTCTCACTCCACTAAATACATACACTGGTTGTATATATACACAGGAGCGGAGCTACATAAAGTTCAGTGCGGGCATCGGCCTGCACTTTGAACTTGACACAGGAAACTCCAGTGTGCTTGCACTGGACCAAGAAGAGAAGAAGAAGAAGGAGAAGAGGGAAGAAAGAAGAAGAAAAAGTGTGTCTGCACTCTACAGGCACTGGCGGAGGAAGAAGAGTTACAGTTGCCGACGGGGAAGAAGGAAAGGAGGAAAAAGAGTTACACTTACAGTTGCCAATAGGGAAGAAGAAGGGAAGGAGGAAGAAGAGTTTAGTTGGGCCAATTTTTTATTTTTTTAGATTTTGGGCCTTCTCTTTAGTTAGGCTTTTTGAGAAAAAAAAAAATAAAAACAATAGGCCCTTGAAAAATCATATGCAAAGTTTTTTGGAAGTAAAAAAATACTGTGTAAAATTAAAAAGTGACAGAGTATCACTTTTTTCACAAAAAAAAAAGTGACAAACACTCAAAAAGTGGCAAAATTAAAAATAATAATAATAAAAAAAGTGACACCAACTCAAAAAAAATGACAGACACTAAAAAAAAGTAAATTCTACAAATTCAAAAAAAGGTTATGGAAATTTAAAAAAGTGACGGACACTCAAATAAAAAAAAAATTTCTACAAATTCAAAAAAGTGACACACTAAAAAAGTGACAGAAATTCAAAAAAGTAACGGACTCTAAAAAATAAATTCTACAAATTCAAAAGAGTGACAAAAATTCGATAAAGAAACATAAATTAAAAAAAGTGACGAACACTAAAAAATTTACTTAAAACAAGTGACAAATGCTAAAAAAAGTGATTACATTCTTCCTTCCTAGCAACAAAACTGACTAACATCTAACTGCAGCCAGACTAAGAAACTTTAAATTGAAGTAATGGATTGTGTCTTCTTTTGCGATGCTTCTGGATATCACTTATAATTGGTGGCCAATATACAAGAGAGAGTGAATTAACATCAAAAGAGGATTTCACGAACTGTCTCTAGCAACATGTCCATAGAGAGCTCCTCATTATCAATTCTGTTTTTTTAAAAGGCACGAATGCAACAGTAGTATCACTAGCAACTGGCTGGCTATTTCTTGTTATTTCCTGCCATTTCTGCAGTAGCATCAGTGCATCACCAACATTTGCAAACCTATTTACTCAACGGGTGACCGAAAGTGTCAAGTACATGGTCTTTAAGGGGGGAAAAAGAGTATCGAAAATGTTAAAGATAAGTTTAATGTCTCTTTAAACTTTCAAGTAAAAAGGATTGAAAAGTAAAACTCAGCCAACCCAACAATGGCTTCGGGAGAAAAACAACTACCACATTACAAATTTTGGTTCTTTTTGTCCACATAATTTAACTAAGGGCAACTTACAAAAATATCTCTAAAATTAATGATCTTTCGAAAAATCATATAAAAGGTATTTTGGAAGTAAAAGATAAAGTGTAAAATTAAGTGTCACTTTTGTTTTTTTTTTCTTTTTAATGACACAATGTCAATTTTTAAAGTTAAGTGAAACTTTTTAATAAAAAAAAAAAAAAAAAAAAAAAAAAGAAAGAAAGAAAGAAAAGTAAAGTGATACACTAAAAAGAGTGACTAAAAAAGTGACAAAACGATTAACACATATTCTATTGCTATTTCTTTAATGAAGAAATATATCCACCTAAAATCCACGTAGAAAATTAACACAAATTCTGAAGATTATTTCTACACATTCCACACATTTGTTTTTTGATCATACATTTAGTAAAGCATTATGTATCTGTAATGGAAATTTTGCAAGAAAACAGAGCATGGGATAACCAGGGCAAAATTCCAAGTTCCAACAAGAGATTCAATCAAGAACACAAAGAAAACTTTCTTGAATCCATTAAATCCATTCCTTCCCATTTACAAGGAATTACAAAAGGTGCCATCAAAAGAGTGCCCATTTTCGTATAAAAATAGGATTCAAATTCGGTTCAAGTGGAGTAACTAAATTAAAATCCCAAGAGAATCATATTAAACCATGAGATAATATTTCACTGTTCATAAATTCCGATTCAAACTCAATTATATTTTTTATGCCAGTACGTATTAGAATTTAAAACCTTGGATCTTTTACATATAATAATATGAGGAAATTTAGGTATAAAATGAAATAAATTTCTCTTTGATATCTGAACTTTACATATGCAAACTCGAAAATAAATTCTTAGTGATTTTACCTATTCACGGTTGATTGAGAATTTGATTTGTGAAATTTGTTCTTTGATGTTCAAGAATTGGAGGTTTGTACCCGCAAAAGGCCCGTACGTATAAATTTGAAAAGGGCAACTTAGAGGGTTTTAGAAAAGGAACGTATTTTCTACTCTTTATGAATAATGCATTCCATTTTTCAATTTGCTTAGTTTTAGGTAGTAACGGGCGTAATTTACCCAATAGTTTTCTGACAAATTTCAATCCAAGCCGAACGTCACTTCATAATTCACCTAACATACTCACTCTTTTTATTATTTAGGTTTAACTGTTGCCATTGTTTTTTGCCACATTTAAGCTCAACGTCATTCACAATTCACCTAACACCCACTCATTCTTTCATTTAGATTCAGCTGTTGCCATCGTTTTCAGCCACTCTCCTCTCACAAGTCATGACTTCATCTTTGCTCCTCAAGATCGTCAATGTTTCGGCATTATTATTTACTTTTTGAATAATTTTTACATATTGGTGAATGGATCTTATTAGACAGCTTTTATTTGTATTTTTTAATTGGACTATGTTATTTTGTAAAAGTTAAAATTGAGCTATCATTCATTAAATTAATATAGTGTTGTTATAAATGTTAAAAAATTTAATTATGGTATGGAACCTAAGAAACCAAACCGAACCGAACCAACTCGAACCAAAGAGCCGAACTATTTCGGTTCCATAATTAAATTTGGACATGACGAGTCCACTTATTGAATATCTAAAAAATCTGATTCAATTCGATTTGAACCGAACCATGTCCAACTCTAATTTAGATCAACTTTAGATGATTTTTCATTTATGGAAATGGAACGCTAATTCTCAATGATTGAAAATTTGAAGTGTATTATAAAGAGTTCGCTGAGTTCGATTGGAGTGGGACCATTTGCTCTATTAAAAGGCATTAACAATCAAATTGATTGCCAATGTCGCATTAGCTATAGTGTTGACCTCGAAGTATGGCCCATCCCCCAAATTTGAGGACTTTGATTGGTGTTTGATGTCAACCATGTAGGTTATCATGCTAATTAGGTTGTATATATAGCCTAGGTTATTATTTCTTATCATCTAGATAATCATTGCTTATTTTTTATTTGTGGAGGATGAGTAACTAATTTTAGGGCTAGCCCTGAAAATTTAGAGGTCCTAGGCGACAAATTATTACGAGGCCCTCCAACATAATATTTTTATAGGTGCAACAATATTTAAATAGAATAAAGTAACAATATTTAAATAAAATAATGTTACTTGTACATAAGTAGTTATATAATTATTTATATGTAGATGGGATATCAAAGAAATTGTAGAGAAGTTTTTTTCTTTTTTTCTTGTTGAAGAAATTCTAAGACGATTATATCTCACCTAGGGTTGGACAAAACTCCCGAACCGAACCGAACCAAACCCGACGGTTGTTCTTAAGTTAAATACCCAAACGGGTATCCGAATCAAGAATCGAAGGGTACGGTTCGATTCTCGGTTCTAGACCAAGAACCGAATAATCGAATTTTTCTAATTTTTTATTTTTTTATATTGAATAAATCAAATTATTTTAATTTTTTCTAAATCTAATTTTTTGGCCCAATTATTTGTTTCATTTTTTATTTTTTTAACCCAACATCAAGCATTCAAGCCTATATTATCCTTCCATTTTTAGCCCAACTCTAAATCTCCAATGTCCAACCCACTAAATCCAAGTATCCAACCCAAAATAAACTACATAGTACACTACATACGGTCCCACCTCTTTTTTAATACTAGTATCTACTTTTTGGTATATGTATACATTGGTAAATTAATGTTATTGGACAACTTATTATTTATATGTTTTTTAATGGGACTTCGTTAATTTGTAAAAGCTGTGATTCAACATGTTATTAGTTGTATTTATGTGGTGTTGTAAATGTTAAAAAAATATAATTATGGTACGGAACCAAACCGAGCCAAATGGAACCGAACCCGAACGGTTCCAATTACTAAGCACCCGAAAATTTCGAGTCCGGTTCGGCTCTTCATGTCCAGCCCTAATCTCACCACATCTTGTGTATATAAATCTTTATGTAAATCTATTATGTAACATAGAACAACCGATTTAAATATTTAAATAATTAATACTTTTATATTAAAAAAAAAGACTTTATACAATTCAAAGTAACTTGTATATATATAGTTGCAAAGGAGAGGAAAAAAAACCAAATTGCAAAACCATAATTCCAAACAATCACCGGGTGCAATAAAATTAAAAGAAAGTAACCCAGGCAAAATACCAATGAAGAGTAATTATACAAACATCAGACGAAGAAAGTGGATCTCATTGTGATATAAACTATCCTTCTGACAAAATGCAATTAATTAATTACCTTTCTTTTTTACTATTTGTAACTCCAATAATAAATATAGATCAATTGAGATTTAGCAAATTGATCATTACCTCAAAAACTATCATCCTAGGTCATGTTACCTAATTATTTCATGAATATGCTCCCACAAATGACTTATTTATGAAAGTTTTTTTGGATTAGAAAATATCTTTCTCTATAAATATTAAGACATCTCAGCAATTTGTTATGTTTGGTGTTTACAAATGAATTAGTTATTCTCTTCATCTCACAAAATAGGCCTGGATATTTTAACAAGAATTGAACCTCCCAAACCAGAACAAGAGGTTTGGTTTGATTTAAAAAAAAAATTTAATAAATAAATTTGGAACTGGAACTGATAACCGATTGGGTTCGATTGATTCTTAGTTCCTGAACCAGAACTATGAGTACCCAAATAGAATCGATTTTTAAGATAATTTTTTGTTTACAATTTATATGTTGGGTAAAAAAATGCAAAACTTATAAATCCTAATTTAGGTAGTAATTAGTCTAAAACTCTAAACCCAGGAAATCAAGACTGGCTCTTACTCTTTTACCTTTTACCTTACATTATATTGTTGAATTTCAGATGTTAACACATGTTAATCTTTGCAATTTCGGCTTTCTATGAATCAAAAAGTTCGAGCTAGATTATGATGTAAGTTGATGAATCAAAACATTAATTCTTTACAATTCGAGCTTTTTACTTTCTTGCATTGTTTACAACTTAAGTGATTTTTTCATTTTTTTAATAATGCATAGCAATTGAACTCGATAAATTCATAGCTTGGATAGTGTATATTTTTTATTATCTAGAGTTTGTGATTCTTTTTTGAAATAGAATTTTTTTTCTTTTTAATCAAACAGACCAAGTTCACTATGTGGACTGCAATTTTTTGATACTATATAGTTATGTATCTAATTAATATTTTTTATATCAGTTCGTTTTAATAGTACAAGAATTTAAGAAGTGTTCATAATTAAACTATAAGTTCTAGCATGTTTCACTTATGGATCGAATAAGATTTATTAAGAAAAATAAGTTCTTCTCAGATTGTAATTTAATTTTGATATTTTTGTTCTCTTCTTTCGTGGTTTGTAGTCTCTACTATTTTGCTTAATGAAAATTTTTTAGCTGAATTTTCTACCTTGCACAAATATTATCGTGTAGTAGCATATTGGATATACATATACCTAAAGGGTATATGGGAAAATGTTTATTTAATGTACATAATAAAAAATTTTATTGGTAGAATCGAACCCAAATCGAAACCATCTATTCCGGTCTGGATTTGGTTCCAATAATTACAAGAACCAGAATGGTTCCAATTACTGAATACTCGAAGTATAATGGGTGATCTGATGTATTGATACTCAAACCGACCCACCCGATGCCTAGGCATACCACAAAGATAGGCTTGTTTCATTTTAACATAGATTTGAAATTGTAATTAATATAATTAAAAATATAAATTTTTTCTAATATACCCCTAAATTAAATAATAATTTAATATGAAAAGCTCTTATTTGTTGATAACAAAGCACAATAAAGATGAGCATATTAAAAAATTAAAATAATAAATTATACTCTCAACAAAGAAATTGACTTATAATTTGAGACAAACAAAAAAGTAAAGCAAGTCTATCTCTAAGGGACGAATGATGGAGTGTTGACCGAAATGGGCACTAAATAAGTTTTGGAATTTTTAATTCTGTCAAAAAAAGAGGGGAATGCACATTTGCAAAAGGAAAATACAGATTTCTATACATAAAATTTCGATACGACAGTGGGTCCACACATACATTGCTTTGCATTAAGCTAAAAAAAAATAAAAGAAAAAAAGAAAAAGACAGACTATTTAGAGGGAAGTTCAATGAGCAAAATTGAAATTAACCCTCTTATAGTGAACCAAAATAGCTATAAAATTGAAATAATCAATCATACATTAAAAAAAGGAATAATGTTATCTAGCACAAGTAGTGTTAGAACACCTGTTTAGATGACTATATATACTTTATAGATTCAATTAAATGAATCATGTGACTTAGCATTCAAATCAATCTATCATTTATTGTCATATAATTGCCACATATATTGGTGCTTAACATTAGTGATGATGAATAACATTTCTCCACATCTATTACAATATAGAGAGAGACATAATTAATGGTGACGATAGTTGGGTTGAGATGGCCTTTATAGTATGTTGACCTTGCCTGAAGGCAATAAGAGGTTAAGAGCCACTAAAAATTCGACCCAACATAGACCTTTAGCAAGCCAAATGGGCTCTTTATGCAACCCAATGTGCTCAGCTCAACTCAATTGATACCACTAGATATAAGAGTT